AAAAAAAAAAAAAAAAAAAAAAGAAAAAAAAAAAAAAATAAAAAAATAAAAATTTGTAAATTAATATAAGAAAAAAAATGTAATAAACAAATCAATATATATTTTCTTAAAATTATTATAAACACAAATATAAACATATATATATATATATATATGGTGAAAAGAAAAAAAAAAGTTGAAATAATGCTATTCAATATTTCAAAATAAATTAATATATATATATATATATATATATATATATATATATATATATATATATATTCATAAATATATCACTTTATACTTGTCAAAATCTATATAATTCTATGTTTTCACATCCTATACATTTACAGAAATACATTTGTCAGTAGTCTTAAGTTCATTTGATACGTCTTCTTTTTTAAATTTAAAAAGTTTTCCTATTTTTAATAATGTAAAAAATAGTGTAATAACGGAGAAAAAAAAAAAAGACTTTTTAAGATAAAATTAAAATTTTGAATATCATCAAAAAAAAAAAAAACTTACAAATTTAATAAAATATAGAAAAAAAAAAAAAATTATTAAAATTAAAAAAATGGAGCCATTACCTGATCCAAAGAATGACAGACAAGTAAAGGAGGTTGAGCCCCCACCTGCGAAAGTAAAAATAATATTATATCCTTGTATTATATAAGAAATTTAAATAAATAACTATTTGTAATATTATTTTATCCTTTTATGTATTATATATTATTCTATATATATATATGAATATTTTATAATAATACAAATACATAGTTTTTGAAATATGTTATTCATAATATACATATATATATATATATATATTTGCATATTATGGAAAAGTATTATATTTAAAAAAAATATACAAGAAATAAATAATAATTACAATAATTATATATATACATATATATAACATAAAATATATTCTTAAAGATCTGTATTTATACTTATTAACTCTCAATGAAGAGGATATTATAATATTTACGTTACAGTGATAAAAATATTTCATAAGAAAAGTATATTATTTAAAAATTAAAATATAATTCCATTAATACAACTTTTACTATTTATTTGCTAATCAAAAATATATAATATAATTTATTAAACTAATTTTTATTATAATACGAAAATACATAATATCAAAAATACAAAATGTCCATTGAAAACACTTAAATTATAAAAGAATAACATTATGTTTATATGTTGTTGGAGATAACACTTACTTGTTTATTAATATTTTATAAGTGTTTTAAAACTAGTGTTTTAAAGATTATTCTTTTGTATAAAATGAGTTGTATATTTTGAAACAAATGAGGAAATTCTTTTTCTTTTTCGTTACATCAATCAAAAATTTATTTTATATTCAGACAAATAAAAATAAATATTATGTATACACTAAATTCTTATTAAAGGGAACTATTTTATTTTTGCTTCCAAGAATATTTAAATTGTTAGACATGAAAGCTTATTTTTAAAATTTATATAATTTTTATATACTTTAGTCATTTTATATATGGTTGAAAAAAAAATATATGAAGCATTTAAGTTATTACTATATATGCATGTATATACTGATAGTAATAAATAAGTGGTGTAGGAAAATAAATAGTTGTGTAGATAAAAATATAAAAAAGAAAAAAAGAAAGTTCTACATTATTACAGAGAAAATAAATAGATAAAAATTCATAATACAAATAAATAATATGTAAAAATATATATTAATAAAAAGGAAAACTTATAATAAAAAATATATTATAAATATGTAAAATAATTATCAAAATTATTTTTATAAAAAAATATCATACATAAGATGAACGTTTTAATTTCAAATATATTTTGTTTTGAACAAGGTTCTTACTATGAATATAATGTATAGAAGATGTTATTTTTATTATATTTTTAAAAATACCAATATAATAATTTTTCTTTTAATGTAAAAGAAGTTTCTCATTTAATAATATAAATTAATGAAATGTTATTATCTTTTAAGAAGTTTTATAAAAAAAGTGATAAATTATTTTAAGTATTTTCCATAAATTTACATTTTTGTATTTATATATATATATATGTATATAGAATGTTTTTTTTTTTTTTTTTTTTAATTTATGTGTGAATATAACATATTTAAGAATAGTGTATATCGGAATATAATATATTTATTATATATATTATGATCAGTTAATAATTTTTTTTTTTTTTTTTTTAATTTATGTGTGAATATAACATATTTAAGAATAGTGTATATCGGAATATAATATATTTATTTTATATATTATGATCAGTTAATAATTTTTTTTTTTTTTTTTTTTTTTTTTTTAAAGCCTCTGAGTTTAGAATTACTATATCCGAATGGCACTGACGAGCCTCCAGATTATAAAGTATTAAGAGACCATTTAAAAAAGGAAGGAAGAATAAGAAAAGAAGATTGTTTAGATATAATAAAAAAAGTAATTGATATAGTTAGTAACGAACCAAATTTGTTAAGGCTAAAAGACCCTATAACAATAGTTGGTGATATACATGGTCAATATTATGATTTACTAAAATTATTAGAAGTTGGTGGGAATCCAGATAATACTCAATATTTATTTTTAGGTGATTATGTAGATAGAGGATCATTTAGTATAGAAGTACTATTATTATTATATGCATTAAAAATAAATTTTCCTGATAGAATATGGTTAATACGAGGAAATCATGAATGCAGACAAATGACAACCTTTTTCAATTTCCGAGATGAATGCGAATATAAATATGATATAGTAGTATACTATGCATTTATGGAATCATTTGATACTATACCATTATCAGCAGTAATTAATGGCAAATTTTTAGGTGTTCATGGTGGTTTATCACCAGAATTAATTCTATTGAATCAGATTTGTTCATTTACAAGATTTCAAGAACCACCAAGATCAGGTATTTTTTGTGATATATTATGGGCCGATCCCATTGATGAAGACAAAGAAGAACATACTATTCAAACAGAATCATATTTTCCAAATGACATAAGAGGATGTAGCTATTTTTTTGGTTACAATGCAGCTACAACCTTTTTAGAAAAAAATGGATTATTATCTATAATAAGAGCTCATGAAGCTCAATTAGAAGGTTATAAAATGCATCAAACAAATTTAAAAACAGGATTTCCTACTGTTATAACAATATTTTCTGCACCTAACTATTGTGATGTTTATAATAATAAAGGAGCTGTTTTAAAATTCGATAGTAACACTTTAAATATACAACAGTTTAGTTTCTCTCCTCATCCTTATCATCTTCCTAACTTTATGAATTTATTTACGTGGTCCTTACCATTTGTTAGTGAAAAAGTTACTGAAATGTTATACTCTCTTTTAAATTATAGTGCTAATGATACAGATGATAATATAAATGATGTTATATTACCAGATGAAGTTAAACAAATCTTGAATTATATTGAAGAAAATAACAAAAAAAATGAAACTTTAAATGATGTAAACAAAGAAGATAGTATAGAGGAACATTTAAAAGAAAGTAATATTAAAAGTGAAGATGAAAAAACAGATCAAAAAGATAATGAAGAAAGAATAAAAAAAAATGATGTAAGTCAAGTTTCAAAAGATCGATCTGATGCATTACGAAAAAAAGTTCAATCAGTTGGTAGATTAATGAGAGTATTCAGAACTCTAAGAAAAGAAAATGAATTAATTGTACAACTAAAAGGATGTAGTCCTGGTTATAGGATCCCTGTAGGTTTACTATTAACTGGAAAAGAAGGTCTAGAAAATGAATTAGAAAAATTCACTAAAGTTAAAGAAATTGATAGTATTAATGAAAAAAGACCATTTGATGAATAAACTTAGGAATAATTAAAGGAAATTATAAAAAATTTGGTAAAATTTTTGTGAAATGATAAAATTTATTGTGAATTAAAGTTAAATGATTTAAAACAAGGATACACATGTGTATTAACATAAATATACACTTATATATATATATATATATACATACACTTATTTGTTTACATATAATTATTTCTTTTTAATATTTATGCGGGTTTATATATATATATTATTTTTAACTAAAAAAAAATGATATATATATAAAAAGTTTGAATTTTTTTTTTTTTTTTTTTTTTTTATAAATATAATATATTATTTGAAACAAAATTACATATATTTTATAGTTATTAATACATATATATCATATTGATTAACATTTGTCCTATTTTGAATTGTAAATAATATATATATATATATCTATATATATATATCTATATATATATATATTATATATTTATATATATATATTATATATATATATATATTATATATATTACAGTTCTAAGTAAATATAATGATAAAGATATTTTAAATGAAATATATAAGTATATACATATATTTAGTTAAATTTATGCTTAAATTGAAAAAAATATTATTAATAGAAAATTTTTTTTAAAGTATAAAATAATATCCATATTACACGAGATTAATATATATATACATAGAAAATAAAGTATTAGAACTTATATATATATATATATAATTTTTAATTTAACTTTGTATTTTTAAATGCAATAAAATTAGATATATATTTTCATAAATTTTTGTAAAAAGAAAAAATTTAATACGAAAAAATGAATTTACCTACATATATATCAATTTTAGAAAAAAAAAAAAAAAAAAAAAAAAAATATATACACATTTTTTCATTTTGTAATTAGTAATATTTTATATTTATTAAATAATTTTTAATATATAATTTATTTAACAATTATATCTATTCCTAATAAAGAAAAAATAAATTTGTTTAAAAATATATATATGTGTTTCTTTTTATTTTATTATTACTTTTTTTTTTTTTAATGTATTTTTTTATTTATATATATATATATTTTTATTAATACTTATATACATAAAATATTTCAATGAATTACGTCTACTATATTTTTTTTTTCTATATATATACTGTTTATAATTTAGATTTAATTTTACATTTTTTGGTTATATTTATAAGTATTAACTAATAAAGCAATATAATAATTTTATTTTATTTTATTTTATTTTTTTTATGTCTAAAAGTTTGATCAAATTAAAATAATAAAAAATTAAAAACTTTTAATTCTATAATAAATTAAATTTTATTTTTTATACAAAAAAAGAAAAAAAAAAAAAAAAATAAAAATAATATAAAATAAAGAATTAACATAATTTTTTATTCAGCACTTTTTTTATTTGTAAAAAATTAAATTTGTTCTAAAATATGTAATTAAAAAAATAATTATAAAAATACCTTCTTTTTTTTTTTTGTCTCTCATTTATATATTATTTTTCGTTTCTTTTTATAATTTATATCTCTATTTTTGTAATTTTTTTTTATCCCATTATACTCCTTTTTCTTTAAAAAAAAGTTATTATTCGATATTTTTCTTATATAATATTTCTTCTTTTAAAAACATCAGTTGTATTAGTTTAATTAAAAAAAAAAAAAATTAATAAATAAAATAATTAAAAAATATAATTAAAAAATAAAATACTTATTTCTTAATCCTTCTTATATATTATAAGCATACATAAAGGTATTATAATTTTGAGGGTCATCAACTTCATTTAATCTATCATCACGTTTTAAATTATCACCTAATAAATTAAAGAAATAAAAATTTATAAATAATTTTTATATTAGGGATGATAAATATATTAAAAAAAAAAAAAAAAAAATTAAGATAAAATAAAAATAATTACTTAATATTTTAACAGGGTTCTGATCTATAAATAATTTTCCATCAATATTATAAATACATTTTCTATAATCATAAAAGAAAAAATAGTTCTGAATATTATTTGTATTTTTTGTATTTAAATATTTATCTTTATGTTTTAGGCAAACATCTAATGACACATTATGATTTAATAAACTATCTTTTACTGTGTTAATATCAATTTTCTCATTTTTTTTTTCATCAATATCTTCATAATATTGAGAATTTTCAATTTTCTTTGGAAAAAATATTTCTTCTAATGGTGAATATTCATATCTTTTTTTTAAACCCATTTTGTAAGTAAAACAAAATTTTTAAATTTTATTTCAACTCCTTTATATATATATATATATATATATATATATATATATATATATATATATATATTTATTTATGTATGTAAATGTTTATCTTTAAAATAATTAAAAACTTCAACAAGAAGATATCTTTAAAATATTTTTCTTTCAAAAAGAAAAAAAAAAAAAAAAAGAAAATTAAAGATTAAAAGAAACTTATTTAAATTTTTTTTTTTTTTTTTTTTTAAATGCACAGAATTTCTTCAAAAAAAATTACAATTTTTTTTTTTTTTTTTTTTGAAATTTTTATAAGGTTTGACATTTTAAAAAAATAATGTAAAAAGTAACAATATTTTATATATATGTAAAAAAAAAATTTTAATAAAAAAATTACGTACTACTAAGAATAAATTACTTTTATAAATATAATTATAAAACTTTTTTTGTTTATAATAATTTTTATATAAATTGCATTATAGATATAGAAATATATTTGGATACATATATATATATATATACTTCTTTTATATATATATGTATATATTTTTTTTTTTTTTGATGTAAATATATGTAATTTATATTTATTATTATATATGTAATTTATATTTATTATTATATATGTAATTTATATTTATTATTATATATGTAATTTATATTTATTATTATATATGTAAAAAAAAAATGGGAAGAAAAAAATATGTTTATTTAGAATTTTCAATAAATACAATTATATTAGGAAAAGTTTATTTTGAATTATTTTGTGATGAAGAGATAAAAAAATCAGTTGACAATTTTTTAAATCTATGTAGAGGAAATATTTATCACAGTATTTATTCTGATGAGATGTTAACATATAAAAATTGTAGAGTAGAAAAAATAAAAAAAAATAAATGTATAAAAAGTGGATATTTAAGAGATAAAATAAGTAATGGAAATAGACTAAATAATAATATATCAAAAGAAACAAAATATGAAAAGGTGGAATGTATATATGGAAAATCTTATAAAAAAGAATATTCAAAAAGAAGACATTTAAGTGCTGGATTACTAACTATGGTTGCAATAGAAGATAAAAAATATTCATCTATTTTTAAAATTACTTTAAATAAAGTACATAAATATAATAATAAAAATATAATTATAGGGAGAGTTATAAAAAATATGCATATTTTGAGGGCTTTAGAAATGATTCCTGTAACTACAGATTTTAAACCAAAAATTGATGTTTACATTTCTGATTGTAATGAGATAAGTGAATCTTTTTTTAAGAGTGATAAAATTTCTTCAAGGCAACTATACATTGATAATTTATTTGCAAATTTAAATGAAAAAAAAAATAATGAAGATGATGAGGAAGAGGAAGAAGAAGAAGAAGAAGAACAGGATGGAAAATATTTTCATGGTAATAATGATGATTATTCTTTTGGAAAATTTCAATCAAAAAAAAAAAAAAAAAAAGAAATTACTGAAAAGCAAAAAGGTATTGAATTATTGAATAAAATTCTTTCAGATATAGATAATATTGCTAAAAACAAAAGTCCCATTAATGAAAATAATAAAATAAGTTTGGATAACTTGAAAGAAAGTGTAAATATTATTACTAATGAAAATGAAGTTTCAACAAATAAAATTTCAAAAGAAAGCGTAATAGAAAAACATGAAAATGAAAAAGATAAAATAAAAAATAAAGATATTCTTCCTATATATCCATATGAATATAATGAAATAAACAAAAAAATGACAGAAAGAGAAAAAAAACTTTTAAATATACAGTTAAAAATTAATCAATCAAAAGTATTAAATCAAATGGAAGTTCAAAGAGAAAAATTATTTGAAAATTCTAACAATGAAATGAGAAAATTTAGAGAATATTTAAACTACAAAAATGAGCAAAACATAAATATTAAAAATGCAATTTTTAAAAAGGATAATAAAAATGAATCTAGTAAAGATAAAAATGTAAACAATAAAAATGATGAAAAAAATGAAGAAAATAATGAAGAAACTAGTAAGAATGAAAAAATAGTTGAAAGTAATAAGAATGAAAAATTAGTTGAAAGTAATAAGAATGAAAAAATAGTTGAAAGTAATAAGAATGAAAAATTAGTTGAAAGTAATAAGAATGAAAAAATAGTTGAAAGTTGTAAGAATGAAAAATTAGTTGAAAGTAGTAAGAATGAAAATATAGTTGAAAGTAGTGATGAAGAAAACAAAAAAAATTATAAACTTTATAATACAAGTGCCATGAAAGTAAAAAATATAATGATGAAAAAAAAGAGAAAAAATGCATTTGATTTAGATAATGACATAGATTTTTATAAAAAAATAAAATTTAATTTTTCTATAAATAGAAAAATATATGACGAAAAAAAAAAAGAGTTCGGTGATAATTTTTATGGAAATAATTTATTAATTAATGATAACTCATTATGTACAGAAAATGATAAAAATAAAATTTTAGAATTTTGTAAAAAACAGGAAGAGTTACGAAGTAAATATAGTAGAAAAAGAAATGAAGAAAATGAATTATTTAAAAATTATATTAATAGAAGAAATAAAATATACAATAAAAAATTAGATCGTTATTTTAATAAACACACAATAGAAATAAGACAAAATCTTGAAAGAACAATTTAAAAATACTCACAATATAAATAAAGTGATTCAATTTTATTTTACTACTAATTTTTTTTCGTATATTTTTAAAAATTTTTTTTATTAATTGTTAATTTAAAATTATATAATTAATCATATATATATATATATATATATATTTTTTTTTTTTTTTTTTGTTGTTGTTGTTCTTTAATATTTGTTTTTCTTTTATTTTTTCTTATAATTAATTTATTTTCTTTTTACATTATATTTCCTTTTATTTTATACTATTTTGTCTATATTCACAATTTTTAAAATAATATTTATTAAAAAATAAAACGTTTAAAAAAGAAAGGCAAATTTTTAAAAAAAAGAAATTTATAATTATTGCAAAAATAATCATTTCATTTTTATATAAAAATGAAAAAAATTATGTATATATATTTATTAAAAAAAAAAAAAAAAAGAAAAATGTTTATAGGGTTCATTTAAAACTTAGTTATGTTTACAATTTTTTTTTTTTTTTTGATTTTTTATATAAATTCATAAATGGTTGAAACTCTGCTAAGTTTTTAAAAAAATTATAGAACAAATAAACATAAAAAATAAAAATAATATATATGCAAATAAATATAACAAATATGTTTAAGAAATATATATATTTTTAAAAATAGAAAATTGTTTTTTATAATTATTTATAATTTTGACTTTTTTTTATTTTTTTTCAAAGTGAAGATATTTGCTATTTCAAAAGGATTTTTATTTAGAGGTGATATAATATTACCAATTTTGTTAGTTATTTGGGGAGATATTAATTTTCTATGAGTAGATATATCGTTCATTTCTTTATTTATATTTATATTTAAAGTTTTTTCATATTCATTTTTATTATATGGATAAGGAATTTTATCAATATAATATTTCTCAAATTTTTTATCTTTTTTATTAAGTACATTTATTGTATGTAATGGAATATTCTTTCTCTTTTCTATAATTTCTTTTTCTTTCATTATTTTTTTCTTCTCTAAATCTAATAAAGTGTCATAATTACACCATTCATTTGCATCAATTTTAATTTCTTTTATTCTTTCACTATCACTTATTTCATCTAATTCATCATTATCTTTGTTGTTGTTATAATCATTTACATTTAGATAATTTTCGTAAATATTATGCTCAAAATTATATACAATAATGTTTTCACTGCATTTTTTTAAAACATTTTCATCATTTATAGCATTAATATCAGAAATACTTTTAATATTATTAATATCATTTTCTGTTTTATCATTTATAGCATTAATATCAGAAATACTTTTACTATTATTAATTTTATTTTCTGCTTCATCATTTATAGCATTAATATCAGAAATACTTTTACTATTATTAATTTTATTTTCTTCTTCATCATTTATAGCATTAATATCAGAAATACTTTTACTATTATTAATTTCATTTTCTGCTTCATCATTTAAAAACTGATTATTTTTCTCTTTAATGTTTTGCATTTCATCATTCTTTTCCTTATTATTCAAAGTATCAATGAATAATTCATTTGCAATGTTTTTTTCAACATTATTATTATTAATAACATGTTTATCTAATTCAATTTTATTAGGATCATTTTTATATTCAATTGTTTCATTTTTGTTTTTTTCAGTTTCATCGATTGAAATAGTTTGATCTTGAATATCGTTGTTCATATTTAGAATATCGCCTTTTTTTAATAAATTTAAGAAATCAGTATCATTTTTTAGTTGCTCCTTAGCTTTAGCAACTTCTTTTTCATTTGATTTAGTAATTTCATTTTTTAATTTTATAAAATCTTCCATATTATCTTTTTCGCTTGATAAATCACTTAAACAATCTTTTTCTTCATTTACGTTTTCTATTTTATTAAGCATATTTTTTCTTTTTTTATATATTTCGTCATTTTTTTTAATTTCTTCTGCATTTTTTACAAAAGAAAATCTTAACAGATTTCTTTTTTTTAATTCATTCTTAATTTTTTTTTTCTTTTCATCGATTAAGCTGTCATCATCATCACCTTCATTACTTGTGTTGTTTTCATTATCACTGTCACTTGTATTATCATGAGATATCCCTTTATTTATTTCTGAATGTAAATTTGCATATGAATGATAATTTTCTTCAATAGCTGTTTTTTCTATAATTTTCTTAAGCATATTTTTTTCTTCTTTATCTATTTGAAAACTTTTTAAAATTTGTTTTCTGAGTTCTTCATTTTTATAACGATTAAGTAAACTTACTGTTTTTCTTTTTTTTACATTATTTATTAAATTTCTTTTTTTTGCATATTCCTGTTCATAATTGCTAATATCTCTAGCTATATCAGGATATTCTGAATATAATTTGTTTAAAATTTTTTCTTCTTCCTTTCTTTCTCTGATTTTTAAATATTTTCTATATGATTTAGATTTAATACGTTTTTTATATGCATTTTTTTTATGTTCTAATGATAATAATGCTTTCAGTTGTGCTATTTTCTTCAATTCTTCATTTTTTTTTTCCTTTTCAGTTTTAAGGATATCATCAGATACAATTAGCATTTTAGATTTTTTTAAATTTTTTTTCATTTCTTCTTCAAAATCATAATCATAAATAGTATCATCATTATTTACATTGTTATCTTTAATTGTATTTTCATTATTTTTCTCAATGTTTACTTTTTCTTCATATATTTTATCATTATTATTCTTTTTTTTTGCTTCATTAAATTTTTTCAAAATATTTTTATTAAGAAATTCATCTGATTTTAGATTTTCTTCTTTTTCACAACCAAACTGAACTTGATATGAATTTTGTATAATATTATAAGCTTTGTTAAATTTATTTACAGTTTCTATATTTTTAATATATGCTAAAGAGGAGTTAATTTTCTGTTCTTCTATAACTGATAAATGCCTATTAGTATATTTTGTATTATCATTCTTTAAATATTTTATATCATTATCAATCTGATAACCTAAAGAATTATCAACAGAATAAATTAAATCAGAAATATCTATTTTTTCATTAGAATTCTTTACTTTGTATATATCATCTTTTAATGATAAATATTTATAATCATCATCACTAATAACATCATTTTCATTATTATTTTTATTTCTTTTTGATTCTTTTTCCTCTACATCTTCATAATTTTTTAAGAAGTTTATAAAATTTTCTGAAAATTCTTTTTTATTTGTACCATTATCTATATGTAAAGAATCTTCTTCTATATCAAAAAATTTTTTATTTAACTTTTTTTTATTTTCTAAATTTCTAAATTTTTCTTCAAATGAAGAAATATCTGCATCCTTAATATAATTATTATTAGAAGTATTATCATTATTATTATTATTCATGATTTCTTTTTTTTTTTTTTTTTTTTTTAATTTAATTTTGTTTTCATTTTCAAATATATTGTTTTTTTTTGCACATTTTATTTTACTTTTATTAAAGTTATTTTCTTTTTTGAATTTAATTTTACTTTTTTTTAAATTATCTTTTAAAATATCGCCTTCTATATTAGTACATTTTGAACTATCATCAGTATTATTATAATTAATTCCAGCATCATTTTTATATTTTTTGTTTTTAATTAATTTTCCAATAAATTTATTTTTCTTTCCTTTTTCTTCTTTCTTCTTAATTTCTTGATTTTTTTCTATATTTTTTTTTTTAATAACAATTTTCTCATTTATGTTTTTCTTTTTTTTTATTTTATTTTTTTGTATTAATTTGTTAATTTTACAACATATTTTTAATCTTTTGTTTGATGGAGACGATTTTTTTAATATATTATTTTTTTCTACATTTTTAGTAGCCATGTTTTATTGTATTCATTTACCTTATGATAATCTTATATTTTTTTATTCTATGAATATTATAATTTATTATTCTTCTGTTTATTTATTAAATTTTTCTAACTTAATCTTAATTTATCCTATTAACTTTTTACATTTATAATTTATGTTTTTTAATTTCTATTTTTCAATTTCATGAGTTTATCAAATTTAATTCAATTACTATATAGAAAAAAAAAAACTTCATTTATAAAAAAAAAAAAAAAAAAAAGGAAAAAACATATGTTGAATGTTATGTACTTAATTTAAAATCTTCAACATATTTCCTTAAATTTTGCAGAATTCTTCTTAAAAAAACAAAATATAAATTTGATTATTAAATTCAAAATAAAATGGAAATAATTAAAAAAAAAAAATAAAATAATTTCATTAATTATAAAAGATTCACCATACAAATTTACATGATATAATTTTATGAAAAATATACATTTTCTAAATAAAGATATAATCAATATATTCAAATCAAATAAAAAAATTAAAAATTATTTCTACAATTTAATATCTTTATTTTTTTATGAAATTTTCTGTACTTTATTTAAACATTTAAGTATCATTGTATGCATATTCTTTATTTTAAAAAAATTCTTCAATGAGTGAACACTTAACATCATGTACTTAATTTTATTTTATCATTTTTAACCATAAATTATAAAGAAGAATATCAAAAAAAAAAAAAAAAATTTTTTAAAATAATTAATGTTGTAATATGTATAGTACCTTATGATTTTTTTTATTTTTTTATTTTATTTTTTTTTTTTTACTAAACTCAAAATGACATCAGAAGTTTTATATATATATATATATATATATATTTGTAAATGTATATATTGAGAAAAATTAAAAAGAATATAATTGGATATTTTTATATCTTATAAAAAAGAAGGAATAAAAAGATATAATAAATTGTTTTTATGTTTACTTCTATATATATATATAAAAACAAAAACAAAAAAAAAAGAGAAAAAAAGAAAAAATAAAGAAAAAAGATTTTAACATGTACAAGTAATAATTTTAAAAAAAAAAAAAAAAAAAAGAGATAATCAAATTTTATATTTAAATAACCCTTAAAAATTAATTTTCACATATTTCTTTTTATGAATTAAAAAAAAAAAACTTATGAAAGAAAAAAATAAACAGAAAAAAAAATTAAATAATAAAAATTATAAAAGACAAAAAAAAAAAAAAAAAATAAAACTCTATAAATATCTACAGATATTTATAAAAATAAGGATTTATTAAAATATTTTTTATTTTTAATTAGAATTAATAAGTCTAAGAGAATCTTGTAATGCTTTAGTATAATGATTAACTGCTTGAACAATATCATCATCAGCTGCTTCTCTTGCTTGTGATTCTAAAATCAAACCATTTTTTACTGTTGCTATTTCTTCTAATACAAAATTTTGAAAATTTTCATTTTTACTTTTTTTTTCTCTTTTTATTTCTTCTATATAAGATATTATTTCTTGATATTTACTATCACGAATATTCTAAAAAAAAAAAAAAAAAAAAAATAACAAAATATTTTTATAAAAATTGTTATTACATTTATAATATATACATCTGATTTAACATAATCAAATTATTTTCTTTTTTAAAAAAAAAAAAGTTAAGAAAATGTGTGAGTATATACATAAATTATAAAAATAAATATATAAAATATATAAATAAAAAAAAAAAAAAATATTTATGTTTATACATAAAAATAATTTTTAAATATAAGAATGATGAGTTAGAATTATTAACATAAATATATATATATATATATATATATATATATATATATATATATATATATATATATATATATATATATATATGAATACAAACTATATATTTAATTATTATTAGCTTTACCTTTTCTATTTCAATTTTATTTTCTGATTTCTTTTCTATTTCTTCTAGCTTTTTGCAAATACTATTCTCTTTTTCTTTATTGTTGATTTTATCTTGATGAAAAGATGATTGTAAGTTAGAAAATTCCTTTGCTATATTATTATTTTTTTTTTCCAAATTTTGAATACATTTTATTTTTTCATTTTCAATATTAACACTAATTGTATTTATTTTATCATTTAAAACTTTAATAGCATTTTCAATTTCATTAACTTTATCATTAACTACATTTTCAATTTTTTCTTGCACTTTTAAGATTTCAGAAGTAAATATATTTTGAATATTTCTATTATGTTCAATTCTTTTTTTAATTTCATTATTTAAATTTTTTTCTAATTTATTAATTGCTTCTCTTATAATATATATTTTTTCTTTTTCAACATTTTTTTTTTGAAGGATTTCATTTTTTATTTCTTTTTCGAAACCTTCAATTTTTTCACATAATCTTTTTATTTTAATTTTCGTGTTATTATTCATACACTTTTCATTTATATCAAAAGACTTCTTTGTTCCTTGACTGAATATCATATTATCATTTTCATAATCATTATTATTTGCCTTTTTTAAATTACATCCAAAAGTAGATTTTTTTTGTGTCTTATTTCTATCATTACTCATTTTTTTCGTTTTATAAAATATGTCATCATTATATATATTATTATTCATATTTAATTTTAAATTATTTTTGCTTAATGATTCAGAAAAATGTTTATTCATTTTGTTATTTTCACAATAATAAATTATTTCGTTCCTTGTTAAATTTAGTGAATTATTTAAACTTCTTTCATATATATTATTTTGTAGTTCACTAAAGTCATTTAGTTTATAATTTTTTATTTCTTTTCTATCTTCTTCTAAATTTTTATTTATTTTAAATTTATTATTAATTTTATTATTTGACTTTCTAATATTGGTACTAATATTACTACTTATATCATCACTACTTTGAAAAAATTCACTAGTATTTCTATTTAATGATTGAATTTTTTTCGTTTTTATACCTTTGTTATTTATGCTACTATCATAAAAAAAGTCTTTATTCTCGTTATTATTATTTTCCGTTTCTACTTGTAATTTAAAATTTTCCTTATTGCAATCTATATTATTATAAATTTTTTTTAACTCAGAATCATAACTATTATTGTTTTCACCTTTTTCAAAGTTACTTGTGCTTTCTTTATTGTTATATGTTGATAAATTATCATCTGATTTTTTAAAAGATTCTGTATCTTTTTTCTTATTACTTGTATAATCTTTTTTATCAAACATTATTTGAAAATAATAAATTTTTTTTTTTTTTTTTTTTTAATTTCTTTTATATTTTTATGACAGAAAATTAAATTTAAGTATTTACCGTTTCTATAATTAACTATAATCAAAATTCTCTACTTTTATATTTATAATTACTTTTTGTCACAATTTTCTTTTTTTACCTTTTCATATATAAATATATAAATATATAAATATTTATTTATGAATATTATTATTAATGAAACATTTATAATATAACATGTGCATATATAAATTATATGCACAGTTGTTATTTTATATGTATTCTAAAAAAAATATTCAAAAATAGAATTAAAAAAAATTATAGTTATGTAGTAATTTTATTATATACAAATGTATATAATTTAATAGAAATTAATAGAAGTAAATATATATATATATATATATATAAACAAAAGTAATATTAAAAAAAAATAACATAAATATTTATTACTATTCAAATTAAAATTTTATATAAAATCTTCATATTAATATGCTCATATTTTTTAATTTATAGAATGTTCGTATAAATATATTTATAAATATTATCAGTAGACAAAAAAAAAAAAAAATATAACTAAATATAAAAAAAGGAAATAAAAATTAAAAAAAAAAAAAAAATAAATAAATAAAAAAATAAAAGAAAATTGATGATAAAATATCTTACAGTATGCAATACATATAGAAATAAGTTCTCTTTAGTATAATTTTTAACTAAAAAAAAAAAAAAAAACAAAATATTAATAATTGCAAAACATAAAGAGAATAAGAAAAATGATACTATAACACTAAAAAATATTAAATTTAAATAGTTTCTATCTATTTATTTTGTCTTTTAAGATTTTTATAGGTATATTTATTCTATATCTTATAGAAAATATAAAAGTAATTCTCTAATGTTAATTCATTTTTTTATTTTCTTTTTTTTTCCAATTAATAAGAATTTAGATTTAATAATAAATGTGTATATATTTTTAATAATAAAGAGATACTTAAGTTTAAAAAAAAAGAAAAAAAAAATACAAAATACAAAAAACAAGAAAAATGGAACATATATAAAAAAAAAAAAGATCATAATAAAATCAAATAAATCATTTAATAAAATAAAAAAAAAAATATATTGTTTTGCTATATGATAAAATTTTTATGAAAGAAAAAAATAATTTTTTATAATTCTCCACTATTTTTTCATTTTTTTTTCTAATTTTTAAAGTTACAAATTATAACTAATAAAATCAATATTTTTATATCAATTTTAAAAAACGTGGAAAAAAAAAAAAAAAATAATACTAAAAATTATATATATATATATATCACTTTAGTAGGATACGAAATAATAAAGAAATAAAGTTTTTCTGTATATACCTTATCAATTATATACTTACGTAAAAAAAAAAAAAAATTAAAATATATATATATACTTATATAAATTAATATTTATTTTATATTATTTTATAAAACTTTTTATTCATATATTATTTGTTTTATACACCTTATAAACACAAAAAATAAAAACTTCTATAATAAAGTACTTTTATCAAATAAAAAAAAAAGTGTTAAGAAAAGGTCTAATACGAAAAAAAAATAATAAAATAGAACATTTAACAGTAAGTATATATATATAGAGTTATATGAAAATCATAATATAAATTTAAGAATTGTTAGTATACAAAAAAAAAAAAAAAAAAAAAAAAAAAAAAAAAAAAAAA